TGCCCTTCCCAGAAAGTGAATGGTTAGTTACACCTGACCTATGAAATGCTTGGTTAGTCCCACCTGACCCAGGAGCTAAATCTCCTTGACCTACACCTAAGTTGGATCTAACAGGACATGCTTCAGTGACTGATTTAAATGCACCACAAAGTAACTTGTTGTGGCTACCATTGCATTTAGTACATGTAACCCTACACCTACTAAAATTGTGACCCTTCTTAACAGCTAAACATCTAAAACATGCACCTATCTGACGTAACATGCGCTTTCTCTCATTAGGTGAGACTGTAGTAATATCAAAACAGTGGTCAATAGATTGACCTGTACGATGGCAATAGGCACAAGAGTTACCTGAACTGTTCACACTTGTCTGCAAAGCTGCTGCAGTACATGGCAATGTTTTTGACCTTCCTGTTGAACCACATGTAGTAACTTCCATTGTGAATGACTGTGACCTTTCCATACGTTGAATTTCACGATGTAAAAAATCCATGGACCATTCCAGATCATTTTCCTGATGCAGACTGTCACGGGCCCATTCCAGTAGTCTCATGGTCTAAGCAGGAGCGGATCCAGGATTATTTGAAGGGGGGGGAGGTCCGGAACGACAGGCCTCAGATGCGAAGCCGGCAGTCCTTCCTTGGAGTGAGGTTCAGGGTCTGCTCAAGGGCCCCGCAAATTTTTGGTATCTTGGAGTGTTTTGGTAGGGTTTAGAACTATGATTCAGCTAGTCTAAATTGTAATTTCAAGAGGGAAATATTGGTGTGATATATTTTCAGAAACCGAAGGTGGGGGTCAGGAGGTAAAAATAATTTTGTTAATTCTTTTCGGCGAATTTACAGTGAACAATTTTTAAATGTCACTTTTACTCGATCATTTCTGCATAAAAGGTTAAGAGTACGAAGAAATTTCGTAACAACGCAAAACCATCCTTACAAGCATTAAGAGACACTCAGAGACACTCAGAAGCATAACCTAAAAATAAAGAAATTACCTTATGCTCCCCAAATGTCATGGTACCTATGCAAATGTTGGACACCTTCAGTCCCGAACTGCCTAAATAGTTGTACCCCATCAAAGAACCCTCCATTTTAACAAGCTAAAGAGATGTGAACTTCTCAGTAACAGTAGTCATCAAAGATATAACCTGTAAAGGTGTGAACGTTCGCGTGACATTACCGGTCAAGCCAGGTAACATTTGCATAATATTTCCATTTTTATCTCTTGCTTGACAAGTTCACATACTATAAATAAATTTCGTCCGAGTGACACAAAATTTTCATACATAGAAGAGGCAATAAAGATATATATGGTGGGCTCTGTTTTTATCATGCACAATATCAACAAAATCATTTTGGTGGACCACTATATAAAATGAAGGAGTCAGTGGCGGGTTAAGAGGGGGTGTGGCGGGGGGGGGGGGGGGGGGACACCCCCTTCGGTTTTTGAAAAAAGCACACTAATATTGGAATAAAAGTACTGAACCGAACAAAATGCCACCACGTCCTGTCAAATACCAAAATCCGCGCCCCCCCCTTTCCCCTTCAAAAATCCTGGATCCGCCATGAGCTCCTTGATGAAATGTGCTCACATTATATTATGCAAAACTCTTTCGGTCAGACACGTGTCACGACATGTGACGTGCGACACCGTTGCGCGGGTATACGTGTGTGTCGCACGAGTAGTTGTATCTATTACATATATTAGGAGAGACCGGGGCTAGTTGGCCAAGTTAGACACTTCTGGCCTTGGAGAGCCAACTAGGAATGAGTTAGAGTAACAAAACCTGTTTCAAAGTACAGGGGGGGGTAAGTGCTTATGAACTAAGCTACGTATGCAAGTTGCAACGTCATTATTTTTCAAATATAATGCCAGTTGGCTCACAATTTGACGAAGAAACGCAATTAATGTCAGGTACATAATGAATATAGCAACTGAGTTAAAACAGTACTTCACTTTGAAAAAGTTAACAAAAAATATACAGCAAACCGACCTAGGAAGTATAACTGCTTCATGTAGCTGTATAGCACCCTGCAAAAGATAAAGCATTAGGAGGCATTTTTACGTTGTACAAACCACATGTAATTATCTATTAGCAAGAGAAAAATTATCAAAATAGTC